GGTGGACGTACTGCGACGGCGTGCAGCAAGTGTCCATGTACGACCACTCCTCAGGATTGCGGTGCAATCCTCTCTCTGCTCTCTGACCCTGCGCGCGCCCACCATACTATGCTTGACATCACCCTCGATGGGCTCACGCCGTGTGCAGTTATATTCCTCAGTGCCGTCCATGACACCATTTGAATAACGGAAGCAGTGGCCGCTGCTCAACCCTCCTGAGCCGAGTCCGTCCACACCATTCACTTCACCCTCTCCCTTCGAGCCAGAACGTCCTGGAGATACACCTTTGAAGTCATTCACAACTACTGCTGAGTTCCCTGCACCTCCGATTGCACGTCGTAGCCAGAACATGTAACGCGCTTGCACAGACGCGCTTTCCCCTGCAGCCCAAATTAGCTCGTTCTTTGCTACGGATTTCAACCCAGGTGAATCACTCATATTGTTGCGAGCGTGTGCTCACCAATTGTTGCTTGCGCCCAGCGGGATAAAAATACGCGAATCCATCGAATTATTGAAGACAATGTAGACGGCTCCTCTTCAAGATAAATTACATAAGCAGCTCGTACCTCAAAGCCTTTGCTTGCGTATTTTGATCATGCATCCTACGCGCAGTATGATGTCCGTTAATATTATTGCCAACTTCGCACTCGGGGCCATCCATGCATCGGCCACCAACAGTACAGACACAGGTATGTACAATTCCCTTCTTCCTTTCAACCACCTTGGAGCTGCAAACAGACAGTCCTCTAAACCAGTCCATGCTTGGTCTTTTACTGCAAGGTAGTCCTCCTTGACAAGAAACAATGATAAGCCCTTCACAGTCTCTATTGCAAGGGGCACTTACCACACTACTATCTACAACTCCTTTGCTGTTGGAAGTTCTTCAAACTGGTTGCCCGAGTTGCTCGACTGTAGAACGCAAGCACTACTTATACATAATATGCTATTCTTACTCAATAGGACATTGCCACCTCTGGCCATTTCTAGAGCTACAGACGGGCCCTCTTGTAAATTGACAATTCCACAAGCCTCTTAGCAGGAGAGCTAGGATGAGGACATCAAGGCCGAGAAGATTTGCAACCTAGAGAAGAGGACTGAGAACGATATTGAGACTCTATTCTTCAGACAAATCGGATAGTAACTCCGAACGACTGTGCTCTTATACACTGCTGTGACAGTGACTGCTCCATACTAGATATAGAAGGAAGGAAACTGAAAGACGATTTCGCTCTCATGATTAGAAATAACACGAAGTCAATCACACAATCAAACTCTCCAGGCATCTAAATCTAGCATTCGTCACTCTTTCTCTTTCCTCTCTCTGTTGTCAAACATCGCGTTATTAAAATTTGTACGGACTAGGACCAAGGCCGAAGGATGCTAGAGAATGATGTACTCGGTCTTTCGGTAAGCAAAGCTGTGAGCTTCTACGTGGGTAAGAACTTAGCGCTCGTCTACCCAGGTTGAGCGGCGGGATGTCTCCTGTCTTTCACCGGTATTGTGCAGGCTTTGCGCAAGATGACCTCCATCGTCAGTACACTTGCTACCTATGCATGTGAGTACTCCTGTATTTACTCCTATTCAAATTGATTTCAATGTGCGTACAGATGATGGTGGCATACAACTCCTGGATTCGGTATCAGGATATCTGTCAAACTGGGCAACTCGTTCACCGGCACAAAATACTGACAATGATAGGGTGTCATTCGAACTATCAGATGCAGGAGGGTCTCAGAGAACTGATGGACAGGACAGACAGTGAGTAATATATATACATATATATATTATAAACAATGTTGCTCAATTGTCAACATTAGACGGCAGGATTCTGGGCAACTCGGTAACCCTGCAATCAGTACTAGCAGACGGCAAGAGCAACATGGAATAGGTGGCACTAACATTCGTCAGGCGCCTGCACAAATATACAGGTATCATACAATGCCTCGGCATGAAGACAGTAAGGATATAATTCTCCTGTTTGATGGAACTGCTGTTTCGTGAGTAAAGATGTTTCAATATTGTATTGAACTTTCATACAACTTATGATTATATAGGTTTGATTTTCCATACAACTCTACAATAAGTATGCTCTTTGAAGGGCTGCCTCGGGCTCATGACTTCCAACCTGCTTTTCATTGGGTAACAAGTATTATATATTTCTTTTCCGATCAATTAATAAGCGGTTACAGGATGGACCAGGTACTTCTTCAACACGGCCTGGAGCCACTATTGTAGAATTCTTTGACATGGCAACTGGCTACTCTGTTGAGCGGAAGGTTATTGATGGAATGAGAAAAATTCATGAGAAATGCACGTTTGCTTGATTAACTAAAGCAAACCTGCTTTTACAATAGTTTTAGACCGGCCAGGTGATCGGATTTTCTTTTATGGTTTCTCACGAGGTGCCTATGTTGCACGAATTCTTGCGCGACTTATTTACCTTGTAAATTTTTCAAATATTGTGCTAAGAATGTAACTCACAAAAAACAGGTTGGAATTCCAGTAACTTTACGGGTGACTAACTACAAACGGTACTACTCTCGTATGGTACAATCTCGTGGTGCAGATAATTCGTATTTCCAGAAGCTGGTGTGTTATTCTACATTATAGCATGTTTTAGTATACTGTACTGAGTTAACTACAGCGTAATAATCCTGCCCATTGGAAGACAAGGGTTTTTTTTGTGGGCGTTATGTGAGTATCTGTATCAATTTACTTTGTAAAGTCTGGGGTTGGTTCCCTGAAGGCCATAGGAGAAAACGTTGTCGTGGTGTAAGGCGAGAGATGCGACCGTTCGACTTGTGGTCGATTGACGATCACACTTGAGCTTTTGCCAGATGACCAGCCGGAAATGTGATTGTTGACAACAGCAGTCTGTGGCACACTGGGTGGCATGTTGACTGACACCCATGATCGCAAAGGATTAGTGGATGTACCTCCGTGCCTTGCGAAAGTGAATTTTGAATCTGTGTCGATCACAGAAGCTTCAGGCGTGTACAATAGTCTCGGCTTGCGCCTCTATTCATACATGTTTTTCTACAAATAACTAATGCTCAATTGTCTTATAGTGATACTGTCGCATCTATTGGTCCCTTTGGTTTGACACCGATCAATGTCTATGAGGATGATACATGCCACTTCCGACATATTGTATCTGCAGACGAAGACCGTGCACGCTTTTCGCCAGTCTTGTTCAACTCTCAACTTAGGAGGCACGGTCTACTATCTCGCATTCATCTGTCTGTCTTTCCCAATAAACACAAGGCAGATATTGAAGCAGGCATCCCTGAAGCAACTGAGGGTCAGACTACAGAGAGCAACCAGCCACAAACCAAGCAGATGTCTTCATTACTTCCTGATTGGAGATATGCACCTGATTCCACCCTTAGTGCCCGTGTTGACTACTCGATCGTTCCTGTTGATAATATTCAGGTCTGTTATCCTGGAGTACATTCAGGTAATTCTTTAAATTCTGAGTTTCTAGTATCTATACTAATTTTTACTTTAGATTTGGCAGGGAACTCATCTCAGCAGTCTGGAGGGCTTGCTTTCCCACCTCTTCGGTTTCTAGTCAGAGAGACTCTAGCAGTTGCACCAGAGATACAATTTACACCGGAGTTCTTATGGAAACTTGGTATCAAGGCTTCTACAGTTGGGCATAATGCATCTCAACGTCCTGGTATTCCACTTGGCCCTAATGATTATATTGATCCGGAGTTCGAAGTAGAGTTAAGGTCTGAAGAAAAGGATATCGGTCATCCTGTTTCAAAGACATCTAAAAAATGGAGGTTTTTTGACTTGTACGTTTGCTTGCTACAAACATAAGAAATACATTCTTAACTTTCCTTAGGTGTTTTCATTTGAGCACCGGCTCTCCTCGTAACTACACAGATGAGCCAAATATGTATAGAAGTCAGGCTCTTCTGGTCAAACAACATCAAGACCACAATTACCATTCTCGAGTAAAAGGGCTTGGAGAAGCTGCATTTTATCCTTAGATACAAATTTGCTTGGTTGTCACTATCTTAGCATATCACTTTGTTACTGTCAATGCATGCATATTACAGTCTCATTCTTCTGTACAGTCGTGAATGAGCTACCTTGCTTGTTGTTGAGTTTAGAGTTTCCTTGTGTTGAGGGCAAGGAAAGAGTACATGTAAGTCTGACTGTGGTTCTTTGTTCAACAATAGTTCATTAGAATTATTCTATCCTCTGCATGCACAGAGAACAGGTGTAAGTGTAAATGTTTTAAGTGCCTCTGAGAATGAGTGGTCAGAAAATAGTAAGCAATGATTTAGTACTTGTGTAACAGGATTTTGCAGTTCCAAGATGGTAAACACATCCAAACCATGCAAGATGGATATAGTGATACAAAATTATGTGGAAGAAAATAAAAGAAAAAGAGAAAAGATCTATTAAGGAAATGCTTAAGCACTAAATCAAGGCGAACGCGGACCGAACCAGCCTGATGGTGCAGATGGTGGTACCACAAGGAGGCTCGCACTCAGTGGCGTATGTACAAAGGCAGGGGTTTGCTATAATGAATGAACAAGTGATCAGAACTCGCAATATACTTATCAATGAAATACTTACGTTTCCATGCTGTCCAGTTTGGCGGATGAGAAAATCGGCTCTGGTGGAGCGAGAGTTTGCAAAGCTGGTGCCTGCTGTTCAGAGCGCGTTGTCCGCCTTCGACACAGAGCACGCTGTTGTACCATGCGCTACGCTGGTCTCACGGGTGGCGGGGTTTGTTCGAGTCCTGGAGCTAGAGGACCACCAGGATTACCGACGCCGACAGGAGGCATATCACCGCCGGGAATGTGCAGAGGAGCAAGGGGACCCATAGTAGGTCACCTATAGAACCATCTCGTCAGTAACAAATCACAACGGAAGATGGTATAAAGAATTACCACTCGGATTCGAACTGGCCACCTGGTCCATATTGACTATGCATGTGCAGAAGTGATCCGATTTCACTAGCAATAAGAATTAGCCACCCGTGCCAAATGCAAAAGTACTGATCATAGGAACATACAATTGTATGATTCGCTTCTGTTCGTGGAGATGTCCGACCTCACCTAATAGAGTACGAATCTCACCGGCCAACACTTTGCTGAACTTGTCAAGGTATCCAGTCAGGTTAAAAGTCACCATTTCTTGAGCCGTTGCCCGAGCACTTCGATCGTCTCCTGGCGCTGTCAACCACTGTCAGCTCTCCAGGCGTCAGTGAGGTCATTAATAAGTCGAATGTGCTGCTCGTTCTGCCTTCTCAGTTCCTCGAGGACGTGCTCAATGCCTAAAAAAATTTGTTAGTATAATCAACAGCAAGTCGGAGTAAACCTACTTGGTCGCTCTGCTGCAGCGGCGCGTTCCACATCTCGTTCCCTCTTTTCCGCCTTACGCTCCGGCATGATGGTGTTTAAGATACCGTACATGTCATCATTCCGCTCCTGTTCACGGTCTCGCCTCGCGAGTTTCTCCTGCCGTCTCTCGTCCATCAGTTCTCTCTTTCGCAAAGTTCCTCGCGCTGTTCCTGCACGATGTTCGTGATATCGCTGAGTTGCGCTCGAACCGCTTCATCGCGTTTGACAACTTCAAGATGTTCTCGCTTAATCCTCTCCAAGTCTTCTGCCCTTCGCTGCTCTCGTTCACGCTCAAGCTCCTCACCAGTACGTGCAAGCTCATCTTCCAGCATACGAATCCGTTCCTCGCATTCTGCTTTCATCCGCTCCTGTTCACGGTCTCGCCTCGCGAGTTTCTCCTGCCGTCTCTCGTCCATCAGTTCTCTCTTTCGCAAAGTTCCTCGCGCTGTTCCTGCACGATGTTCGTGATATCGCTGAGTTGCGCTCGAACCGCTTCATCGCGTTTGACAACTTCAAGA